CACCGAACGCCTCCGACGCCTTCGTCCTCTGGACCGGCTGCGCCTTCGGGACCGGGACCTGTGCCCCAAGCTGGACGCTTCAGGATTTCAAGGTCCAAAAGTTCAATATGTTTTCGGTTCAGGGGTAGGAGTTTGGGGAGTCTCTAAAAGCAACTGATTGACTTGCTCAACTCGTGCAGAGTCCAGTTTTATCGACATGCAGGACTCGCCGCGGCTTCCTTATCGTCCTTGGGCTACGCAGCTGCAGCACAGGGCAGCAAGTGGGGGCGGCAAGTGTCGTTGTGGATGACATCTCGCAAGCCAAGGTTGCAGGTCCCACAGGTGTATCCTCACGCGCGTAGATCTACCCGGACTTGTTTGCGGGGACACGGTCCACCAACCACAGGAAGCGCCATAGCGACCGCCGAAGCCAGGTCAGTGCCAGAGCCGGATGCAGGCCACAGCTCACACTGACGAGACATGCTGTAAGAGCAGGAGATGAAAGATGAGGAGTGGTCATCACGCGACGCCGAGCTGATGGAGTAACTTGAAAGGCGCTGTAGAGCTCACCACTGGTCGCAACAGCCTTTTCCCAAGCAACTCAGGGGCACGCACCTGAGTAAACTCTTTGCGCTCTACACGTGCCCCAATCGCCCAAGTGCTGCCGCTGCAGCACATCTGCGCCACCATTGGAGCGAGCCCACAGCTCTCTCATGGGAACGGGACCCATTTCAGGTTGAAACGCGGGGTGCGGCACCGCACTGCTCTCTGCTCCCAGAGGGAAAAGCTGGCAGCTCCCCGTAGGCAGGCGGCTCGAAACGGCTATTTGGGCAAGTCGTATGAGCACATCCACTGAATGTGCTCATACGCCTTGCTCAAATCCGGCTGAGCCGGCTGTGGCTCCGGCTCCCGAGGCTCCTCAGGCTTCTGAAGCTCCTGCCCCGCATCGACGCTTTTCTCGCAAGCGCTGAGGAGCTTGGTGGAGCGAAGCACCTTATCCTATGAGCCGGTGGTTCCCAGGATTTTGGCGCTACAGCATGTCTTTGAGCGCAGGTCGCCTGGAGCCCACAGCCTGGCGGAACAAGAGGAGGCCCTAAAACAAGGGAAGCCTCTGCATTCAGCTGATGGTACAGCGAGTTGCCCTGAGGATCCTGAACCGCGTGGTGCAGTTGAAGAGTTCTTCGCTTGGTGGAGCGAAGCACCTTCCTATCCTATGAGCCGGTAGTCTCCCGCCTGGGGACCACCAGCTCATAGGATAGGAAGATGCTTCGCTCCACCAAGCGAAGAACCTCCTCCTGCTCCTCTTCAACTGCACCACGCGGTTCAGGATCCGCATGTCTGACTTAGTTTGGATCGATCTCTAAGCATCCGTTCCAAGGCTGTTTCTGTCCGCTGTTTTGCAACGGCCGCCTAGCTGTGTCCCTGGGCTTCTTGAGCAGCTGGCTGCCGGTGTGCACAGTCCAGCCATTCGCTTGGAGGAGCTTCCTGGAAGCCCTGGCGAGGACCGCAACAGCTTTCGATTCCACCCATGGCTGGCGTGGCGGCTTGCAAACACGTAGATCACACTGCCCGAATTTTTGCATACATTCCTTCTGCCCAGCCTCGCCTAGTCGTAACAGCCCTGTTCCTGCCTAGAGTGTGGGGGGGGCTTCTGCTCTGAATACTTCGCCGTGACAAGCCGCATTTACAATCGGTTTGGCATGCTTTGACCCTGCGAGTCACCGAGCAAGATGTCTGGTTTGGATGGCATGAGGTGCATTTGCACACAGAGTGACTCCAGCGAACCAATCTCGTCGTGCGCCTTTCGCGACTTCGCCTGGCACGGGACCTGACACGACTTCCATTGTGTGACCACGGAAACAAGACTGCTAAAAATTGATTGGCGCCTGCTTCGACTTCTCTTTCGGCTTTGTGCAGCCTGAGCAACTCCAGCGGACTTCAGCGACCAGCCAGTGACCAGTGCCTTTCGGAAGCTCTGCTGAGTTGGGGGCGAGCGGGCCATCGCTGAAGCCCCGTGGCGCATCGCTGAAGCCGCGCGGAGGCGAGCTGGATCTGAGAGACGCGCTGGCCACACTCTGCGCGTCAAGCATCAAGTCGCTCGCTACAGCGACAATGTGTCATGTCGAACCTCTGCAAAGCACTCATCGCGAGCATCGCGGCCGGACCAACCTGGCAAGAGCATCCGGGACGCATTTTTCGCTCCAACGTGAGGCGACGTGAAAACGCTACTTAGGGTGGTAGGAAATCCTCAAGCGACTTGTCGCCAGAAAGAGTGGTGAGAATGCGGCAACGCGAAAGACCAAGTGGCTAGTCTGACATAACCTGACAATGTCCTTGAAACCCCTGTCATGGGACTTGCACAATCCAACCTGCGGTTGCGGCTGCAGGCCTGACAATGGCAGGGGCATGAGCCATGCTCAAATGCGTGGATCTATTGCAGCATTGCAGCAGGCTCTTGCATTTGCCGCCGGATTGAAGGTGGCAGGTACAGCATGCAAACAGCAGGCTGCGCAACAAGTCTCTGAGGATTGGGCTGGCTTGTGGTGGCTGCTGCACTTGTCCCGTCAGCCTGACGCCCAAACACCCAAGCCCCCTTCCAGGGCCAGAACAGCGATGAAAAGCGAAAGAGCGGAAGCACGCCAGCGAGGCGGAAGCTCCAAGGCGGGCAGTGTGAAGCCAAGCCCCGACCTCGCAGCTCTTTGAAAGCAGTCCGGCTTCGGGGTTAAGGTTTGTACGGCTTTGGGTTAGAGGAAGTTAAAAGCTTAGGGACCTTGGCAGGATGCCATGCAGCCGCATCTTCACGAAAGCTACGCAGCCAGCGCTCTAAGTGTTGATGCCCCTTGTAGGTATGTCGGGTACCAAAAACAAGGACCACCCTTTGAGAGCTGATGATGTGAGATCCTGGCTCAGGGATGCTGTGTAGCAGTCATGCTTGTCGTACTCTGAACGTCCAGCACCCCTTAAGGTGCGGAAGGGGCTCGGGAGCATGCAATCAGCCACTTGGAGCCTAACACCCCACAAGTACCCAATCAGAAGCAGTAAAGCAAAAACCACTGGCGGCCTCGTGGCCGGGGGGGCAGCCTTGGCCTTCGCTGGCCGGCCAAAAGCGCTGGTGACCTGAGCTGTGCGTGGCTGAAGGCCAGGTCTTTATGGTTTTGGGTTTTGCGTATGGAAAGGGTGGGGACTTCGAGGCTGTTTCTCAAGCTCGCAACGGAAGCAGCAGCAAGCACAATGACGACGATTAGTACTACGACGACCACGGCCACTGCTACTGCCTCTGCCTATTGTCTCTGCCTAGTGCTACTGCTAGCTAGTACTAGACCTAGACTCCATCACCCTCATTTGCCATCTTTCCAAGGGGGTGAGGGGTGAATCCATCGTTATTTGCAGTGCTTCGTGAACATGACATGCCTAACACATCGGGATTTACGACACTTCGTGGCTTCGCTGCGTGCCGGTGGCCAAAAGCATCCAAGTTGATCGTCATTTGCAGTCTGTCCTGTCCTGCACATGACACGCCTAAAACATCGTTATTTACGATGCTTCCTGGCTTCGTTGCGTGCCAATGGCCAGAGCATGCATGTCCGCACGATGATAACGTCCGTGTGGCCAGAGCATGCATGTCCGCACGATGATAACGTCCTTGTTGCCAAAGCAAGCATGTCCGCACGATGATAACGCCCGTGTTACCCAGAGCATGCATGTCCGCACGATGATAATGTTCGTGTTACCAGAGCATGCATGTACGCACGATGGTAATGTCCGTGTTGCCCGAGCATCCATGTCCCCACGATGATAACGTCAAATTGTTGAACTGCTTTTGCATCTACGCGAATGATGTCCAAGACCTCTGCCGCCCAACCAAGCCTTCGTAGACACTACGTGGCTGGACATGCCGGAGCCGTGAGTTCGAAAAAGGGAAAAACTTTCCCCGCAAAAATACCGAGTTTTTGCTGATTTTTTGATTGCAGACAATGTCTGTTGGGTTCGCTTAGTGGTGACATGCGACATTTGAAATACTGTTTGTTGATTTTACCTAGCGCGAACCTAGCGTTTTCCTAGCGCCACACTGGGGTTTTAGGGGAACCCCCTCGGTGCCGCCTTATAGCAAAGACATGAAAATAGACCGGCCAAACCAATTACTGTAAATTAAAGTAACGGAGCAGACACGCGAATTTTGAACGCAACCCACATTGACTTTGCGATTCGAACCCCTTTTACCCTTCCACTTCCTCACCCGCAACTTGCACAGGAAATGGCCGTTCCTCAAAATGCGGCCCAGACCTAGGCGAGAGTACAATTTTGGCTTCTTGTGCAGTGTCGCAACATTCTCTGCTCTTCCCTGCAAGCATTTCATGCCGCTCATGGCTCGGCAAACGAAGTACATGGTGCCTAGACCTAGAACGAAAACCAGAGCTAGAACTTAAACTCGAACCGGAAGCAAAACGGTACTGCCACTGACACTGCGACGGCCACGGCCACGGCCCTACCCGTGCCCGCTGCTGCCGCTGCCGCCACCAACACTACTACCACAATGACTACTCATCCTACCACTAGCACTACTACGACGACTACCACTAACTGCTAACCACTAAGCTCTATCACGACTATTACCACTACAGCTACCACGACTACTATACCAGTACTCCTACCCTACTGCGACGACGACGACGACGACTGCTACTTACATTTCAGAGCAAGAGCCAAGTTCCCTACTTTGCTGCACAGGGCGTTTTCCTATATCGGGGACCCTTTCTTTGATACATTCTTACAATAGGGTGCCTCATGAAAATGCTTCCAATACAGAGACACAAAGGTCTGAACACTCCCCGCCCCCACCCCCTCCCCCGCATAACCCACTGTGGTGCAAGTTCCCGAGCACCATACGCCAGGAGCAAAGAGATCTTCGTCGGACGATTCCTCGTCCTTCTTCGGCCCCTGCATGCAGATACCAAGGAGACGAAGGAACTGAAATGCGCCCCATGCAACTGAACTCTTTGAAGCTCCTTCGGTCAGCATCCTCAACAACCAAACGCAGACACACGCACACACACAGACACACACACACACACAAACACACACAAACACACACAAACACACACAAACACACACAAACACACACAAACACACACAAACACACACACAAACACACACACAAACACACACACAAACACACACACACAAACACACACAAACACACACACAAACACACACACAAACACACACACACAAACACACACAAACACACACACACACACACTCACATACATCACAGGTCCATGTTTCAGATTGAAGGAGGCCTCGTTTGCCGGTTTTTTCGGAGCTTCGGCCACGGCGGCGGAGACGAAACCTGTCTTTGCCAGCATCCGGTTCGGACCTGGACCGCGACTTTCGCAAGTCACAAGCGCCCAGCAGCTTTCAACCTGTACTATTTCCATATCAGCCACCACTGATATGTGCTCTTACACATCCTGCCTGCCCTCATTCCACCGCTGGCTTTTTGTCGATTGAGAGCCTCAAGTCGGAGCAATGTGCGCGCAACTGAATGAATTTGGCAAGCTCCTGGCAGAAACCCTGTTTGCATAGGACGCACTGGGAGGCCCTGCGGCCATTTGGTCTGCCTCCTTGTCCAAGCGCTTGGCGAGCTCCTGGGAACATGGGAGACGCAAACGAAGAAATTTCAAGGAACCCGCATGTGCAACAAGGGACCCCTTCTCAACGGAATGGGCCCTTCCACTCACCCGCTGGGCTCCTGGACTGTCTCCTTCTGCCTCGAGGCAACGTCGAAGCCGATTCCGAAGGAGCTCTTCTCTACCTTTTCTTTATGCATCTTGCAATGAGGGAGGAGGCTGTTAGGGATCACAAAAGGCAGGGGGGGGGGATCAGCCCTGTAGTTCGATGACTGCCGGCTACATCAGCCAAGCTCAAGGCCGCAGAGCAAGGCTCTGAGCATCATGGGAACGAGGCTCGGAGCACCAGCGACGAAGCCGACCGAAAGTCAGGATCCCAGGCCCTGAGGCCCGAAACATCCCAAAGTAACCCAACAAACCTGCGAGACCCATCCATGGGAAATGCCCAACTAGCCCCGAACCCTGGGTAGGCCTTGCCAGCCTTTTTCTTGCCGAGGAAGGTGCGCCCTTCAAGCTTGGCGGCCTCGGCTTTGGTGGCTGTTTTATTCATTTACTTCTCTTTTTTTTGTGGGGGGGGGGGGGGGGGCGGGCTCCTTTAAACTGCTTGAGGATGCTAGGTTGCTAGGGTTGCTGGCCTTCAGAGTTAGGAATGTTCAGGATTGAGGGTTTAGGATCTGCATGTGGGGTGGGGGGGGGGGGGGGGGGGGTTGACATGTATTGCAGACGGCTGTGGTGAGTTTCGTCTCAGGTCGCGACCCGAAAAGGGCCGTACTTCATCGCCAGCCCCTGGTCTGGAGCTTCTGGTGCCAAAATCTCATTGAAAGCCTAACCACCTCGCTTTGCACCTTTCTCATCGTGGCCCATGTGCATACGTACCCCGGGCAACATGAGGCAGCATCGATCAGCGGATCTTGGCGGGGCCTTGAGGTCTTCCGGAACTGCCTGATTGGCCTGCTCCAGGTTCTCCACCTACCCGCAGCTTGCGCGCAGGAAGGTCTGCTTTCATGGGCTCTCGGTAGCTGGATGCTACTGATCCATGTCCCAAGCAAGTGGAAGGCGGAGCAATAAAATACCATTCCCGGGAGTAACCTGCTGAGGCCAAGGCAAGAAGAGCTGCCATCTTCTTGTTCTGATCGTCGCCGGTCAGAAGTGTGTAAGCCTGATGCGAGCTGGATTGGAGTGAGTTCGGTTCATGGTGGCACAGCCGGCACCTGCACAGGTCTTGCCGCAACAACTGCTTACAACGCTGACCGCTGACTGTAACGGAGCCAACAGGGAAAGATCTCTTGGGAATAGCAAGGAATGAGTCGGACTTCTCTGACCAGATACCAGACCTTTCTGTCCACTGTCCTGTTAGCAGCTGAACAACAGGTACCCTTGCATGTCAGCATCCTCGCCTGCCCTGCCGCACCAGCGCGCCCGGTGCGGCCTATTCGATGGGTGTGCCTGAGACACACCCGCACCCAAGCTTGGTGAGGCAGCTTCGACTTATTTACTCGGCGCTACTTGTTTGGGGGTCCCTATTTTCTGGGGCGAAGCAGGTCTTGAATCTGCGGACTCTGGGTTGAGCCAACACGCACCACGTAGAAATTTAATTTTTTGAACAACTAAGCAAAAAAAACTAAATAGAAAAAACACAAAGATCACACCGCCACTTGGGGTGTCCGACGTTTCGATGTCCCTGGCGGCGTCGTAGGAGACCACGGTGGAAATGGAGGGAAGATCGAGACCTCATGAAATGTCATGAACCACATTGGAGGGACTCTTGGATGGTGCATGGATGATGGTCGCTCGCAGATGCTCGAATGTGTCATGCGAACAGCTACTGGCCTAGGATTCTGACAGAGTGCACCGTTTAGGATGTTGGGGTTTAAGGGGCTCACAAAGGGTTCGGGACATGTTTAAGTATTAAGGCAGTTCAGAACAGCTACCGTAGAGTTGGCCGAGCTTGAATCCCGGCCATGTTAGCAAATTGCTGGAAAAGGGCAAAGGGATCCGGACTCTTAAGCTTTCTGAGCTTGAAGATGCTCCTAGTCAAACCCCAGACCACGTGCTACGGAGGAAGGTGCGCAATGCAAGCAAGGTGCCTCGAGCTGCAACATCTGTGGCAATCAGCACATCCACCACTCCTCAGAGCCCAAAAGCTCCCCCAAAGGGCCCCTTGTGTTTTTTCATTACGGGCTTGGGTCTCTGTGTATGGCGAGCAGCGCTTCCTCACGTTGCGCAGGATGCGCATCCGCTCACCTGGCCGAGGCCCCTCATGTCGCAAAAGTGGCCTTACAACCCTTCAAATTTCCCCCGCCAGGTGCCTTGTTTTAAAAGCCCACTTGACCATGCACGATGAAGTTGCCGCTTCCGGAGCTCGCGCCGGCCTTGATCGAGATCTCCATGCAAGAACTCCGTCTTCTTCTCCAAGAAGTCCTGGAAGTTTTGGGAGAGCCTCGGCTCCAGGAGCACAAGCCTCTTCTTCTCCCCCCCCCAGGCCGCAAGGTCGTACCATGATCGTGCCTATGCCCTGTGGCAGTCGCTCTCAGCCTCGGGCTCCTCCGCACTTGCGATGGACTTCACGAAGACGAGGAGCTGCCACCGCGCTTGATGCTCTTTCGAGCTTTCGCGCAATGACACACATTTTTTAGGGACGCCATCAAGGCCAACATCTTTGCAAACAGATGCGATCAACGTTGTGTTCAACTGCCTGGCCCTTCTGTAGCATGCCGTCGACCCGCTGCGAGAGCCAAGCCTTGCAAGCAAATTTGAAGGCACACGCGCATTCAACTGCAAAGGGGCGCACACCACCCAACACTCTACCTTGTACCTTCACACACCTTAGTACACACACACACCTCGCTAACTCAGCCAACCTGCAGTAAGTTGATTGCCGACAAACTCACGCGCAAACCGGAAGTGTCAGCGAATCAACCGAGCCGAGTTGGGTTCCCAGGGAGCTCTGAGCACCCAGGCCCACTTCTCGTCGTCGTTCTTAAGCACTTCGACGAACTGCTGCACATTGGCAGCCGCCTGTCACCATTCGCGGACCAGACTTTGAAAACACCACTGAATGACAGCAAGTGACTCTAGAAAGCTGCTTTTTGGTTTATTCCCTCCCTCCCGGAGACCCTTGGTCAGATGGAAGAAACTTAAACATGAGGCTTCTCAGCAAGGTGGCGCCGCCGAGATTCCGCAATTGGAATGCTTTCGCTGCACTCCTCCGAAGCCCTTTGTCCGACGGGACATAACTCAAAAAGCACATTGTTCAGCTGTGTGTCAGCGCCGAGATTCCACAATTGGGCTGCTTTGCCCTTTGCCTAAATGAGCACCTTTTATTTCACCTGTGGGACACCGCTGCCTTAGGCTATAGGCCCCCTGAAAACAGGCCATGAGCAAACCCAGAGTACGCGCATTTCTCATGCCTCTCATGTTGCGACGTCTCCCCCCCCTATCGTGATTACTCTGAATTGTTTGACGGTGTGGATCGGAACCTGGCTGTACACAGCAATTCTCATGGCAAGAACCCTGTAAGGCGCAATCGTACAATCTGAAGCTTGCGCTGTTGCTGGCCTGACCAACCTCGCCGATTGTGATACGGACCTAACCAGCACACAGTCGAAGAGAACTACCGTGGATAGACCCACAGGCAGTATTCCTTGACAGACCACACATCCTTCCGCCTTCTCTCAACACTTCCTATCGTATCTCACTCCACCGGACTGGCACACAAAGCAGCAACTATGATTCGGGCGGGATGTTGCAGGATGTCGCCTGCAAAGAGTCTGCGTTTAGTCGCAAAAGCTTCGCACTTCGCAGCCCTTTGTGTCACATAATGTAACCAGCTACATCTCTAATATGGCTGATGCCGGGAACACGTCACGCTGCGACAACAGCTCTGCATCAAGTCAAGGTACGAACGCGCCCTGTGACCCAAGCAGCTCCTCAACGACCCTGAACAAAGAATCATCTGAGCCATGCCAGGACCACGGGCTAGCTTCTCAATCTTTGGCCTCAATGGCGGCCACGGGGCTCATTTGGAAAGGTGGGGTCGGGTCTCAAGCAGAAGCTTCTACTGAGGGAATGTGACCTTCGGGTCTGGGCTGAGGGCGTGAGGCGAGAAGGGATTCAAGAAGGCTTGTGCAATCATCCTCAGAGCCATCGAACCACAGAGTTACACGCCCCGGTGCTCAGATTTGTCTCACAGCCTTACGCTTGGAGAGCGGCGCTTGGTGAAACCGAAATGGGGAAACGACGCTGTACATGTACATGTAGGGCAAATGCTGGTTCGACTTCTGTGCTGCGCAGCTGTACGGGCAGTCACAGCAAGGAGGACATCGGCATCAGCAGGAAAGGACCAGGAAAGGACCAAAGAGGGTTATGATTAACTTGTTGCATCTGCCAAGATGAACTCGAGGCAACGCCACCTAAACTGCCTGAACATGGATAGTCTGGTGCAAAGCTTACATTCGAGGTTTGTGGGCACCAGCGTTTCAAAGAATATTGCTTCCCCGCTGAGCCAGTCCACTCAGCAGATCATCTCCCTGGCTGGCAGAACTTGGCCGGATCGACGTAGTTAGCCACCGCAGTGGCCAGCAGGTGCTCCTGGGTTGGGACAAACTCATGGTGCAGGATGAAGCCAGAGCCGACCAATCCCGAAACTCAGGGAGCTGAACGGTTTGTCGAAACCAAAGCCAACTCTGTCGGGTCATAACTGCACCTGGGGACATGTGGATTGGGCAGCCGCCAGTTCAAGATGAAAAGCCGCCGCACTTGCCTAGGCCTGGGCAGTCGTCAATCCTGCCTTGCTTCAATGCGGACAAGCCTCCGGCAGCTCATCTGGTTCCTTCGAGCAATGAGTCTTTCTGTTCTTTTTTGGGGATTGCTCTCGCTCTGGTTCGAGTAGCAGCACAACTAAGCACAATACCACTGCGATGAGAATGAATGGCGTGGTTTATCGCACTGGCAACTCCACACCTCCAACAACCTTACCCTGATGTGAGGATGCGTGAAAACCCCTATCCCGCAAGATATCCCTGAATGACGTTATCGCTCGTGTTTACTCTTCTCGTTTTCTCGAGTTTTAGCATTACTCTGAACGCTGTCGTTCTTTTTTACTCCTATCGTTTTCTCGAGCAAAACGCACATCTGATCATCTCGGGGCGCTTCTCTTTACTTTCAATAGCGGGGGGTTTAATTCATCCCTCATGTGATTCTATGCTTTTGCCACGGGGACCCCCAAACATTACCTTCAAGCCAAGCCTAAAACACCCTAAACAGCACCCTAAAAAACACCCTAAAAAGAAAGGATCCGAAAGCCCTGCGTCGCTGGAGGCGAGGAGCCTTCGCCTCCAATAAAAGCGCGCAGCTCAGAACGGCTCCGCGCATGGACTTCAGAACCACACCTCGGAGTTTGGGTCTCCATGGGACTGTATTCAAACATGCTCAATAAAGCGAGTCACTTCTTCTTATGCTCTTCTTACACCAATACTGTCAATACTTGTTATTTGTTGTTGCTCTTAGTGGTTCCGATTTCTTTTGCAAGACAACCAGCAGCGGGCTCATTCAGGATTTAGAGGGGGTTCTGCGGGCGGCTTGGATGTTCAGTCTCTCTGATGGGGGCGTAAGATTTCGGACTAGCGTCGAAACGCTCACAAATTACAAGCTTGCCCAACACACCGTGAGCCAGCAGCAGCCCTCTCATAGCCGGATGGGTAGAAAACCCTAAACCCTAAACCCTAAACCCTAAACCCTAAACCCTAAACCCTAAACCCTAAACCCTAAACCCTAAACTGCAAACCAGCGGCCAACCGTGGCCCCGTTCGCGCGTTCAAACGCGATCTCCAGAAAATCGTTGGGCTTGTGGTGAAACTTGCATTGTAGCAGCTTACATATCCTTGGCTGCAGGCTACAAGCGCCTCTGCAAGGAGGATTAACTTACACGGCGGTCTACTTTGCTGGAGGTCCCTTGCTTCTAAACTAGGATGGCCCCTAAAAGCCTCTGAAAAATATTCCTGAACCCTCTTAAACCCAATAAGGGAAAACATTAAATCATTCAATTTTATAAAATGTTTCCCACAGGCCTACCTAGTAAATCAGAACAGCCATCACTTCCGGCATCGCAGCCCAGCTGCAACATGGGCTTCTTGATGAAGGCCTTCTTTACAAGCCAGGGCCCCTCCTCCACTGCCAGAATCAGTTTGACCCGCTGGCGTCCTCAGGTCTTAGGTGCCGCAGCCTGCTCGGCATGCTCGAAACACGACTCCTTAATCCCCTGAATCCCCCCTGAATCCCCTGAAGCCCCTGAAGCCATCCCCTGAATCCCCTGAATCCCCTGAATCCCCTGAATCCCCTGAATCCCCTGAATCCCCTGAATCCCCTGAATCCCCTGAATCCCCTGAATCCCCTGAATCCCCTGAATCCCCTGAATCCCCTGAGCATGAAGTGCTCTCTGAGTTCTCCTCTAAAGTTACCAATGTCAACTACAGTCCCGAATCACTGAAGAGGCCATGGGGCTGCTGTCATCGTCCCCTTGCAAGAAACTCGTCCAAACGCGCGACCTTCAGGCAGACATCTGGAGCGGGTCCAAAATGCAAGTACGCGTGGACATTTCAGCTCTTGAAGAAAGAGCTCAATACACGTGAGCAGGCCGCCGCAATATGTTTGGAGGCCAGCGGCTGTGGTGAGTTTTCATCACTCACCCACGCAGCGTCAGAGTTCAAGGCCATCGTCATGACAGCCTGCAAGCTCGCAAAAGTCATATCAATTCCTTGCAAATGTCTAGCTCCTGCGGGCGTTCAAGATGATACGAGTACAGAGCCCGTTCGGGTAGAGACGCTTCCGCTCATGAGCGGCTCCATGACATCAAGCATCTTGCTCGAGTCGCCGCGTCGCATTTCAAGAGCAAGGCGTCCCGGAGTGCCTGATAGTCTCCGAGCACAAAGTTTGTGACCAGGAGAAAGCGCTTGTCACCTGAGGCTGACCCGGTCGCAGGCTCCCATGCAAGGGTATCCACATGAGGGTCCCACCATCTTTCCTGGCACAGGCCGGATAGAAGTCCGGATGCGTGGAGACGTTGGAGACAGGTCCCTCGGCACCTCGGAGGAAGGAGACACCGCCCGCACACCCAAAGCCCCCTCTTAGAGTCCTTGAAGCTGTGCGCTCTTTCCCACCACGCCACAAAGCATTCAGCGTTGCGGGCGCTTTGTACATGTCGCACATCTTCCCACAGTTTCCCATGTGGCAACTGACCAAATTGAGGCAAAGACTCCAATGAACACACCACAAACAAAGTCAAGCGGATCTTGTCATTAAGGGCTTCAAGATCCAGGATGACACGGTTGGGAGTTTCAGTCTTAAGGACCAGGATGAACGTGAGCGGTAAAGAACGCACCCAAATCGGGCCCTTATCGCAACACTCATATACAAGCATCTGCAAGCTTAGGGCATCACCGATGGCAACCCAATCCTTGGCGTGCCAGGGCTCCCCAACAAAGTTAGCTTTGACTTCACGGTTGTATAGGGTTGCCGCCCCCCCCCCCCCCCCCCCCCTGTCCCTCCTCGCCGCCACTTTGTTCGCGCTTTTGTTGGGCTTTGGAGCCTCTAGTATTCGGAAGGCGTCGATGCCTATCATGCGGGACCAGACTTGGTATGCCCTCGTGACACTTAAGCACGGGCCCGTGCAGAATTTCGCTGAGTGATGCTGAGAGGAAGCCTGTGTGAGGTTTCTTCAAGAAGGATCCTGTAAGGAACTTTCATGACAGAATCCCTTGCAACAAGATCCCCAAACGGACCCTAGTATGGAGTCGTCCCGACACTTGCACAAAAAAAACCTTCCTTCACTCACGCAGTGGCGATATTGACCAGCTCCAGCATGGTTGCTGCACAAGGCAGCTTCCGCCGGTCGCGAAAGTAGGTTTCCTTGTTTTTTTCTTTGGAAGGGGCTGGGGGGGAGGGGGGGGGGGTGTTTAGTTTATTCAACACTTCCTGCACAGGCTGATCGTCCATGATTCCTGCGCTTACCCTGGCATTCCTTGTCCCAGCTCTATGGAGCGAAGCCAAGCAACAGATCGAATTCGCCAGTGTCTGCAGTCACCTTGGGCTTAGCACATTCCTCACTCTCCAGTAGGTTCACAAGGCAGAGAAGCGTGCAGTCCCAAGAAAACTACATGCAGCTGCACTGGAGCTCAGAGCCTTAGATGCTCCAGAAAACTGTGATGCTAAAGCTACTGCAGTGGAGCTTCCCCGGTTCCAGGAATGTGGAAGGTGACCACGAGGACAAAGCTCGCCTGGGTGATTTGAGGCTGATTTGCCGATCTCTTCCGTAATTTACAGCTGCCAGGCTTCGGGCTTCGAGGGGTTTAAAAGGGGTTTCAGGGCTTGGGGGGTGAAAAGCTTAGGGGTTTGCAGGCTTCATGGATTTGGAACCTTGGGGCTTGAAGGTTAAGCGGTTTGGGAGATTCAGTGTGGACACTCGAGAGCTGTCTAAATGCGGCCTCTGCATGAGACGAGTCTCTGCGCTGGCGAAAACTGCGTCGAGGTGCTTTGGCCTTGGTGGCTCGGTTTGCAACTTCGGTGCGATCGTCGTGCAGCCGGAGATGACCATATATATATATACACATATGTATCTATATATACATATACATATATATATATATATATATTATGAATTGTTTCTGTCTATCATGGAGTATAAAAGTGCTGCCCAGCGGCCCGGTTCCGGGCAACCTTTGGGCGGCTCCGCGCCGCCCCATCGTCGGAGTTGTCGCTCAGGGAGAAGAAGGCCTCCTCTGTTCACAGTCCGGTTGGCACTCTGTAGGGTTTAGGGTTTAGGGTTTAGGGTTTGGGGGTTTAGGGGTTTAGGGTTTAGGGGTTTAGGGTTTAGGGTTTAGGGTTTAGCGTTTAGGGTTAAGGGTTTAGGGGTTAGGGTTTAGGCATTAGGGTTTAGGGTTTAGGGTTCTCTACAATCACCCTATGTGTTGAGACGAAGATTATCGTGTTTTATTGTACTGTT